TGAAGTATTCTTGAGACATTTATTTTTGCCCTGTATCTACATGAGAAGCTTTTAAAAAATTGTGTCATTATTAGCTACATCTGGCTTTATAACCACATATGTATGCTGAACACTGCATTTATAAAGTTTTAATGTAACCTCTTAAGAGTTCTATATTATTAATATAATGTGGATATATTTATAGTGTTTTTAAAAGAATGAAAAGGAGGAGTCTTGTTATGGATAACACAAAAAATAAAATATTGCCTTCACATATTCATTCAGATGAGATGAATTTACTGAAATTAAATTGTTACCTTTTACTCTTGAGTACACTATAGGATATGTGTGACAAATTAACATATTTAGTGATTATAAAACAATATGGCATCACCAAGATTTACTATTTATGATGAGAGCATGAGAACAAAAGGTATATTGGCCAAAAGAAAGAAAACAAGATATAGAATTGCATGCCAAAAGTTATACATGTTTTATTTGTTAAAATTTGTTAACTTAAGAGCTATACATTTTACTGTATATCAATTACTTCTCAAAAATTATACAAAGTTTAGATACTTATGAAATATGGACAGAAATATGGGTATTTTATTGATATTTTAAATTTTTATTTAAAAAATAATACATAGCACAGTTCTATGACTTTTACTCATGGATAGATTTAGTACATTTAAAAAATTCCCTTATGTTGTCCATTTTTAGTTACATTTTTGCTTCATTTTTACTTCTTGTCAATCACTAATCTGTTCTCTTTTTAACTTAGTTTTGTCTTTTGTAGTGCAACATATAAATGGAGTCAAACTGTATGTAACCTTTGAGGCTCAGTTTTTTTACTCAGCATAATGCCTGCCAAGTTTTCTATATTACTTACTGTAGTTCATTCCTTTGTATTGCCCTATAATATTCCATTGTAATAATGTACCACAATTCATTTGTCTACTTAGCCATTGATGGATAGTTATAGCTTTGACAGTTTAGAATTATGAATGTATATGCTATCATCGGTTGTTTACAAGTTTTGGGGTAACTATAAAATTTTATTTCTTTAAGTGAAATACCTAGCAACAAGCTTGCAGCATCTTATGCAAATGTTGGTCTAACTTTATAAGAAATTGCACACCGTTTTCCAGGGTGGCTATGTCATTTTGCATTCTCACCAGTTCCAGTTGCTCTACATCCTTGGCCAGTATTTTATATTGCCAGGTTATTTTTTTATAAGTGTGTTCTTTGTATCAACTTTCTTTGTATCCTTATAATATCATATCAGGCCTTCTTATCCATCAGTACTACAGGTCTTCATTTATTTGGGTTTGAACAATTTTCAGTAAAGCTTAACAGTTTCTTCATTAAGGTAACAAATCTTCTTGCATGCTTGATAGAAAGTACTTCTCAGTTACTTTTGAGGGTTTTTTGTTGCTATTATAAGTGATATCTTTTCTTAAATTATATTTTGCTTGTTAGTAGCATACTGAAATGCTATCGCATTTAATTTAGGTAGGTTGATCTTAAATCCAGCATCTGTTATTTCTTTTGGTCTAAGTAGAAATTTGTAGCCAGGGATTTAGCTCAGTGGTTCTGCTGCCTGCCTTGCAAGTGCAAGGTCCTGAATTCGATCCCTGGTACCAAAAAAAAAAAAAAAAAGTTGTACTCTATGAAGAACTGAGTTGTTTCTTCATTTCCTATCCTTTCACCTTACTTTGTGTCTTCCCACACCAGCGGCATCTCCAACACAATGAACAGACACACTGATTGAGGGCTTCCTCCTCTTGTCTTGACCTTGAGTGTATTACTTCAAATGTGTCATCATCTATTAAACATGGGACTTTTTCTAGGTTTTCTGTAGATATCATTTGTGAGGTTAGGATAGTTCCCTTTTATTCCTAGTTGCTAAGAGTTTGATTTGTTAAATGGGTATTGAATTTTACTGAATACGTTTTCTGCATCTACTGACCATCTTTTCCATTTTTCTTTTAACCTGTTAATGACTACATGAGTTCTCCTACCTCCTGAAAGATACAAAATAAGTTAAAATACAAAGAAAACTTTTAGTTCTTTAGGGTTTGACTTCTTGAACTTAACACAAACTGGCCGATACAGAGACTACATACGAGAGAAGCTGTTTCTCCTGCCAAGTGTTTCCTGTATGACTGGTTTCCAGTCAAGGCTGGACACAGTGGGCAGGAGGCCAGTTTAAGGAGGACTGCTGAAGCCCTGCTGTCAGGCTCAGAAGAGCCCAAGGAACAAGGGACACAGGTGACCTGGAGGACACAGGGTGGCTGCCAGACTGGAAAGGGGACAAGGTAGGCACCTCCTCATCACCCAGCTTTTCCTGAAGCCAAAGGATCCCTTCCTTTCTAGGCAGCCTGGGAGTGGGTGGACCCTCTCCCATGCTCAGACAGTGGTAGACACAGATAACTTTTTTTCCCAAAGAATTCCAGGTGCCAGCAGAACAGTGGAGAAATAATACCTGTAGTAATAAGATTCACAAATGCTGGGCTCACCAGAGAGAAAGCATGCACATCCTGTCATGGCCTAGCAGTGCACTGAATAATTTCGCCTGGTGTGTGGGGACTTTTAGGCCCAGGGAACCCAGGCCCATGAGCAGGTCTTGACTATTCTCTTCATAACTCCAAAGTATTGCCTGGAGAGTGGCCACAGAGGGCAAATCAGTATCAGCAGGAGCTACTTTGGGAAGCACAGAGGCTGACTGAGCACAAGGAAAAATGTTCATACTGCCTCTCCTGATCGGCTGGGAGTGCCCATCACAGCAAGTGAGCAGGGACTTGATGACCAGTAGCCAGGAATTTTGTACAGCAAATACATATGAGGAGTGGGCTGCTGACCTCTGAGGTCCCTTAGCCCTGGAATGTGAAGTGATACTGGCTAACAGAAATGCTTGGGTTTACTTGAGAACCAAGCTAATCAATGCGGTATTTTGGCTCAGGACTGCTTGGCTCATGGCACCATTCCATAGACTTCCCTCCCTGCCCTTTATGCCACTGACTTTCACAGCTTTCGACCCCTGGGTTGACCTGCCCTCTCTCCATGAGCTGTGGAACCTTTAGAAGCTGTATGCTCCTGCATATTTTGCAAACTGGATCAGCATCAGGGACTTAAAACCACAGGAAGGTGCCAGAAGGCAGAGACCTCCAATGTGAATTTTTACTGGTGGAGGGAAAGGGCTGCTCCCTTACTCTTTTTCACGCACCAGTGCAGCGAGAACAGAGGCTTTAATGGTGGGCTTGAGAACTAAGACTAAGCCCAGCATGAGGATTATGAGGGCACGGTACAGTGGCCAAGAAATAGGGATAAGGGCACCAGCGTCTGTGGTGCTACTGCTTCGGGCACTTTGTCTCTTCTCAGTTCTTAAAGGAAGTCTGCAGAAGAGGGTTCAGCACGTCACAAACTGGTGTGTGACCTTGTAGATTCCCATAGACTCCTGGGCCTTTTTGTCAGTCAGTCCAGTCCTTTTCTTGCAGATTAATGTCACTGAAGACAGTCCCTGCCTCCATGTCCTTAGCAGCAAACCCTGTCTGGGACTGAAAATCAACTGGTTCGAGGCCCTGGCACTCAAACTTCACAATTGTCTTGAACTTCTCATTATCTTCAGCATGATAAGACCTGGTGATGCTACTCAAAATCTTAATGGAATTTTCCCATGCTCACAGGTTGCACTTATGGACCACAGAGGCACTGCCATGCTCTCCCTTCAGTGCCACACTGTCCATCAGTCCATCAGTATTGCCACTTCTCTGAAATCACAGTTACGCATTTCATCTTCAGGTACCACCAGAAGTCCTCGCCCAAGGCTAGAGGTTGGTGATGTTTCCCAACGTGGCTTTGAGCTGCAGCATTGTTTTCCCTATAGTAATTTGGCTTAGTGCAGCAGCTGCTACTTTATCTAATTATTTTTTTTAATTTAGTCATTCTAACAGATATGTGATGATAGATAATTGAGTTTTAATTCACATTTTTTTCTAATGGTAATTATGTTGCACATTATCAAGGATTGTGATGGGTTGGCATATTTATATGCTAACAAATTAATCTACCACAGTTTTATGAATACTTGACAAAAGACATGAGATCCCTTGATCAAAGGACTAACAGCCATAGCAGTAGCTAGAATATCAATATTTGTATCCATTTCCTAAGATGCATTTCCATAGGTTAATGTGACTAGGGCCAGGTGACACTGGCATATGCAACTGATTAAGTTACAGGAAAAGAACCCTGAGCCTAGAGAACCTAAATATTTTATAATAGGCAATGATCCTGTGTATTTGTATTGTGAAAGGAAGTGCCATCTCAGTCTTCCAAGGCTGTTTGCTACACAAATATCCTTGAAAAGATTGTTTGAGACAAATGTAGCTAGTGCCTCTGATCTAATCCTTGGGGCTGGCAGAGAACAACATTCTTGTTCTCATGGAGATTACAACATAAAAAAAGAAAGAGAGATGGGTCTTGGAGGAAATCTGGCCAACAGTATGCTGCCAAGCATGAAGTAATGAATAGAGGCAAGGCTTGGCCATCAAGATTGCAAAGACCAGATAGGTGTGACAAGAAGACATTTAAACAGAGATGTAGGATTCATCTTAACTAAGCAAGAGAGAAAAGAAACAACCACTCCCAAATATGTATTTTGTTTTAAATTAAGTTTTATTAATAATTTTTAAATCTTTAGTTTTTGAAGACTGTTTTATTTAAATTAATACTTTTGCAAAATAGCTATTAGATATAGCTTCAAAGCCTATATTAAAGAAAGTTATAAAAATTTGACATTATATATTAAATAAAAGGTATTTAGCAGTTGCATTTTAAATGTCAGACTATTCAGTTGGTGATGTTGAAATCTTTTATGTTATTTTATTTATTTTGGCTTTTTGCCGTTTTATTTCCACATGCAAAATTGGAGTTGAAATATATGTTTTCATTCCTTTCAAAGGAAGACTGTGACTGTATCAGGTAAAGGCTGCAAACATAGTTTTAAGCGAAAGTTTCATTATGGGACTCTTTAAAATTAGAAGTATTTGCTTCTTATAAAAAATAAATGTTTCCCCCTTTAATTAGTTCTCAAAAGTACAAGATATGTATTGAGACATGGGCTTCAATAATCTGATGGAGACAGAGGTGAGATTATGAAAGATAAAGGAGAGATCACTTTCCCTTTCAAAACAATGTCTAAGACAATATTTTCTTCCCTGAAAAATAAGCATTATTTCATATGAATTCTTAAAGCAATCTTCTACTTCAGTGGGAACTTTTGTTTGGGAAACTGAGGCTCAAGAGACTGGGCTGGCTGAGGTTACACAGGTTGGCAACCTGTAGAAATAGACCTGGAGCTACATTCTTCTTTCCAGAGGCTTTTGACCCACCTTGAAGGCACCCCCTTGCCATAAAAGGAGCTATATTGTCCCTTGTAGACCTGCTTACAAGATAGAAAAAAGACCTTGAGACATGCTGAAATCCAATCTGATTTTCACTGGAGATTTGTAAGGCTGATCCAACCTTTTACAAAGCGCCTCTTCTAGGGTTCATTGCAGCCATCAGTACAGAGAACTCTCAATCCCCAGGGCAATTTTACCTGTGCTCTGTCAGTTAGTCCTCTTTTCTGCCAGATGCCAGCCACTATTTCCTTCTCCCTTGCTCTGGGTCCCTTTGATCCTGCTGCCACCAATGATGACTGTTGTAGCGCTGGTGCTCTCCACAGCCTCCCTCATCGGTGGCCACTGATCATGCCCACACTGCAGCTGTGACTGCCCAAAGCATCCATCTCAAAGCTATTAACCTACAGGAAGCTGATTTTTCAGAAGGGCTTAGCCCTATCTTCCAGAGCTCCAGGCGTTCCTCATTGCCAAGGCTACCAGCACAGAGATGCCACTTTGTACTCTTAACATGTGTACCCTTAATATCCAGGCAGATTTTAGTGAATCCCCTCTGTTTCTGTTATTTTTATTTATACACCATGCTTTTGGCCAAAGACTCTTAGAAGCGGGTAAAATATCTGAGTGGCAGACATAGTGTGGTTCTCACAGTATCTTCTTCCTTTCCAATATCAGTCTGTATCTTGAGTCCTTATTTATTACTTAAGATGAGTCTCTCCTAGGATTCCTCTTCACTCAGCCATAAAGGACTCATCTCTGTTATCCTGCACAGGTATCTGGGTTTGCTGAAGCTGAATTGTAAACAACATCATTGTTGATAAGTTTGTGTGTGTGTTTGTGTGTGTGTGTGTTCTCACAAGGTTAATTACTCTTCATATTTCTATTAGAGCAGTGAGTAACATTCCTAATATGCATATCTCCTATATTTTTTAATAATAATAGTGGCTAACATTTATTTATCCCCATATCCATCATTTCACTTAACACCGTCAGTAACCCGAGAGGGGAGGTGCCCTTGTTTCATTTTACAGATGGAGAAAACTGGCACGCTATGAGATTAAACACCTACCCAAGATCACTTAGACTGCGAGTACCAGCAGTGAGTTTCTACTCCAGCTCTCTCTCCAAAACTTAAGATTTAGATCTCTTTCATGTAAGTAGAAAGATGTTTGTTATAAAGTCTGCAAGGAGATCCTTTAAATTATTTAATTTTATTTTAATATTGCTTTTAAATTGACATCATTGTACCTGCATTTTTGTTAGCCCAGCTTTGTCTTTCTCATATTGTTTCTCAACTTATGTTCTTTTGTAGAACAAAATTTTGTTATAGAAAATATGCCATAAGGCAGCTCAGATAGTAAAATTATATGAGATGTAGTTTTTTTATACTTTCATATAAAACTTGCCCTCATTTTAATTAAATATACTAGAAAACGATTTCTGGGCTTGAATGAAATAGCCCTTTTAAAAATCACAGAAAAATCTGGCCAAATAGTACATCATTATTTCTCTGAAGGTTACTAGTAGAAACTCCAGGACAACCAGAGTTGCCATGCTCTGGAGCACCATGGGAAAATTATGCATTGTAGAACTCAAAGGGGCCTACTGCCCTCCTCACCACAGGCCCGAAGGAGGGAACTGCCACAGTTCCACTGCCCAGGCCTGCAGATCTTCTGGCTGACTGTTTGGTTCTCCATGTGTGTTAATCATTCACCTCAAGGACCTCCTAAGAGTATTTATTCCCAAAATAGAGATGTGGAAGTCAGCCTGTACCACTTGGCAATAATTCCAGCTCCTGTAACTTTCCCATAGGAGTAAATCTGATCAATGTCACTATTGTTGAAATTATACAAGTAAACCAACTATACAGTGGAGCTTCCCCCCTGGCTCCCGCCCTCTTGTTTTCATGTACTTTGCAACCTGAGGAGAAGTTTCCATAAGGAAGCAGAGTTCGGGCTGAAGTTACCAAGTGACATATGGAAGATCTTAAACATAGAAGCTGCCTTCAGACTTTAAACAATAATAAATGTCTGTTGTGTTCATGGTTGATCCATAAAAGAAGTATGCTTAATTAGAGATGTGAGGTGCCAAGGGTCCTTCCCTCATGTCAGCATCTTTTAACCTGTCCCCTGTCCTCCATTTTGACATCCCCATGTGACAGAGCTACCCAGAGAACATTGCCCATGAAGAATTTCCATTCCTTGGCAATGATACTTGCTCATGATTATGTAGGCAGCATACTTTACTTAAGAAATAATTTCCTATTGTATTGATTCCTGCCTAAGTATAAGCTGCCCTTACATACATGAAACTAAACAAAAAATTGAGTTAGTTATCTAATTCTTCTGGTTAATATTTCCATTTTGAAACAAAAGTGAGCAGGCTTTATAATTTTTTTCTAGAATAATTTATTTAAAGCCATGTAACTGTATATAAAGTTACACTTTAAAGTTGTCAAAGCTTCTTTTCTCACTTTCATCTTTACTCAAAATTGCTTACTTTTTATCTTGTCCATTTCAGTTTTACTATGGAAATTAGTATAATAATGTCAACATTCTGGAGCCACAGCATTTAATAGAATTGAATAAAAAGAAAAATATTTCACCTAGAAGTTTTTGACATTTGGCAGATGAGTTTTACATTTGTTTTCTAAGATAATTACTTTAAATCTAACTCAAGATATAATTTTGTAGGTCTTGCTTTGTATATTGGCACTTAGACTCACAGGACCCATAAAATTCCATTTAATCATTTTTACAGCCAAATTGATTCCAAACTGAGGAGAAACTTTTATCATGAACACAGCCTATTTCTATAGAAATAAGGAAAAATTCCCTAAGGCCCTCATCTATTACTTCAGGGACATTTTCCTTCTAGCCTGTACAAGGTAGATTTGTATAAAGGTCACTGCTAAGAAGGGCTTCCTTGTGTATCCTAAACTTGCATTAGGTGCTTGGCTCAGTCCCTTGCACTAGCTTGGCTGAATGAGTAGGGAATAGCTATAATCATCTAGGGCAATAATTGCTAATTTGTTTAAATTGTTGGATTTTGCCTATTGGCATTTTAATTCTCAGATGGATAGGTGTGTTAAGTGGTGGTCATTGTTCCCATTGGAAGCTAGTAATTCCAAAGTGATGCCAGCACAGCATGATACAGTACTAGTTGCGAGTACTAGGTGCTCCAACACATCCAGCTGAGTGCTATATGCTTTTCATGTACTCCCTCATATCCTTCCAAAACATGAACAAAGTGCAAGTCAGCTCTATCATTATCCTCAGTTATAGATGAAGAGTTTGAGCCATGGAGATTCATGTTTTGTGTGCTTGTTGAATTTGATTAATGGAGAACCTAGAACTGAAGAGAAACAGAACTAACATGCATTGAAGTCCTAGTATCTGCTTGGCACATTATATACAGTTTAATTTAAACCAAAATAAAGCTTAGAAAAGAATTATAGCTCTACTTTAGGCAGGAAGACTAGAGTCTTAAAGCCAGGAGTGTTGGCACACACCTGTAATCTCAGCACTCAGGAGGCTAAAGCAGGAGGATTGTTACAAGTTCATGGCCAGTCTGGACTAAATAGTGAGACCCTGTCTCAAAAACCTAGAATCTCAAGAAATCAAATAATTTCCTAAATGTATTTAGCCAAGAAGTAAAAGTAACAAGAGAGAAATCCAGAATTCAGAATCTGCCCATTCAAGATAAATGAAGGTTCCAGTTAATAGCCCCCCCCCTTCCAGTGCCCTGTGTAATTTCACTCCATCCACAAAGAGAAGGAAAAAAATCTTTGGCATAATGGATATGGAGACCCAGGAGTTGATCATAATTTCTAGGGAAATAAATTATGACTATGAATTTCTTCTTTGTTTGGAACCAAGTTATCTAGAGAGCTTAAATGGAATTTATATTATTTTCCTAGGGCTGCTGTAACAAAGCCACACAAATTGCAGTGGTTTAAACAATAGTGGTACATTGTCTCACAATTTTGGAGTCTGGAAGTCCAAAGCAAAGCTGTTAAGGGCTAGCGCAATGTGAGGGCTGTGAAGCAAAGGTCTCTTAAGGACCTCTTTCTTTGGGTTACAGATGGTCAGCTTCCACCGGTATTTTTTCACACTGGCTTCTCTCTCTGCATGTCCCCTTTTTATAAGGACACCAGTCATTTGGGATTAGAGTTCATCCTAAGGGCCTAATGTCCACTTGATTACCTCTGCAAAGACCTTATCTCTAAATAAGACCACCTTGGAGGAACTGGGTGTTAGGACTCCAACATATCTCTTCTGGGGGGGGCGGGGGGGGGGAGAATACAATTCAACCCATAACAGAATTGAATCTCAGATTCTTCAGAACATGAGCTGTGTTAGGCCCGTGGCACAACCTAGGCTTCTGGGCATCTCTTTTGGCACTTAATCTTGATATGCAGCCTTGTTTAACAATGAACCACTAACAAATGAACAAAAAAGAAATAAAAGTATGGAATGGAATGACTTATTCTAAGTACTATAACTTGTAATACTATCTCCCCCCGGCTGAGAGGTATTGTTCAGCCCCTTTGTTGAGCTTCTAGTCCCTTCGTCATGGTGACGAACATCTTTCCACAGTGACTTGGTGCTGAGTGGGCTTCTGTTATAATTGAGGGAGCTGGGCTGACCTACTTCTTAATCAGGAAACTCAATTGGTTTGTTTCTCTTTACGCTCTTCAGAAAGATCTCTCACTATATCACAAGTGGTTTCCATATTGTTTATGCTTATCTTTTGAACAATGATAAGCTACACTATTTTCTTAGAATTTTTTATCTTCATATTTCACTTAGTTGGCATGTCAAAGAAATGCGACTTTTATATTAATCTAATCTGCCAAGATGGTGCACAAAGAGACAGGCAAATATAGAAAACGCCTTTATTGCAAAGATATTCAGGTGAAGATTTATCTGTAATTCTTTTCAATGTTCAAGGACATGGGTTCTGTTTGATAAGATGTGAAAGTTCACAAGAAAAGAGATAATGTAGATCTCTGAGGCCAAGTTGGGGGTAAACGTTGCTTTGTTATCTCAGCTGATAACACACATGGTACTTATTGTGGGATGTAGGCTAAATTAGCAACAAGGTGAATAAGACACTGAAAATAAATAAGAAAATGATAAAATGGAAGAAGGTTTACTTTATGCACATATCCTGCCCATATACACATAGAGAGAGACAGAGAGACCAAGAGACTAAGAAAGATAAGAGAAATTCTGTAGAAGTGTTTTTGAAACATTCATGGACTACTCTTACAATGTAAAAAGGCATAACTAAGTCAGCACAATCTCCCATCGGTAAACCAGGATGATTTTTGTTTATTTTTATTCCAAGATCCAAAGAATTGCAGTTATTAAAGGTAAGGGATTTCCTAGTAGTGAGAACACAGACATAGATGCCTAAATCCCCCCAGATTCTGACTGAGATCTCTCATTAACTGATACTCAATACTGTTTCCTGCACCAAGTTCCTGTCTGGAGGTTTGTTTCTTCCTAGTGATGGGCAGGAAGAATGATCTTGTCTTTTACACTACGTCCACTCCTACAGAGTGGTGAGGCCTTTTTCCCCAGTGAAAAACTATGTCAGAACACAACATAGCAATTGCGCACTGTCTTAGTCACTTTCTTGTTGCTGAGATGCAATTCCTGCAACCACAACCTGTCTATATCCCTCTAATGTGTCCCTATAGTGAAGGGTCTAGTGGAGGAAAGCTGCTCATGTTAAGGTGGCCAGGAAGAAGAGAGGAGCTGGGCTTGGACAGATAACCCTTCCTGCTCACACCCCCAGTGACTCCTCTCTTCAGATCAGGCCCCACCTTCCAAAAGCACACTCAGCTGCTGAGCTCACCAGTGGTTGAATCCATTGCACCCCCAAGATCCAGTTAACAAGATCCTTCTACAAGCCCTGCCTCTGAGCAAATGAGGTTTTGGGGAGCCATTCTTGATCTGAACCCTAACACACACTAATAGTCATAGGTGTGTTGATACTTCATTATCTTTGATCTTTTGTACCCATCTATAACACTGTTGCCAATGTGGAATGTACCCATTTGGTTTTTGGTTCTATGAATCTTGAGATATAATTGTCTTGAGATGCTAATTGTCCTTTGATATAGAAATGTGTTGCAATTTGGATGGCAAAGCTCACAGACCATGTCTCGGTGTCTTTATTCCTCTCATTCTCCCATCTCCTGATCATTCATGGCTATCAGCAATTTTCAGAAAATACAACCCAGGAAACTCTGACTTGCCAAGAGCCAAGCCAAACTCATTTCTCTTTCTAGGCTTCTCCACCATTAAATCAGCACATTTTTCAAGTCTGCATTTCAGAATTGCATACAGAAGTGTGCAAGATGCAGGCCTTAATCTTTCAGTTGTCTGTTTTAGTTTTTTTGGTACCGGGGATCGAACTTATGCTTGGGAGGCAGGTGGCAGAACCACTGAGCTAAATCCCCAGTCCTGTCTGTTTTAGTTTTATTACTGTATTTTATTTTATTTTTATTTAATTTATCTATTTTGAGATGGAGTCTCACTATGTTTCCCAGGCTGGCCTTGAACTCACAGGCTCAAGCAACCCTCCTTAGTAGTTTAGATATAGGCATGAGCCACCATACCCAGCTGCAGTTGTTGTTATAATGCATTCAGTTAAGTATTTCTCCTTTATAGGCAGTACATATTAACCCATATTTTCCTTTTTGAAAATGACTCCTGTAACTGTGCAGTTATTATTACTTTCTAATAATAATATAATCAAGTACTATTTTTAAATATTTGAAAACACTCCTAAAATATGAATTGATTCAGAATAAATATATTGTCCAGATTTTCTTATCAATGGGGTAAAATATTTTGTTACTTAACCAATTCTCTAGGTTTCAATGGCTTTTTAAATCTAGTCTAATTTTCCTCAGGATCTCTGATAATTCATGAGTATAAGAAAACCATGAAGTAGAAAAAATATAGCCATGACAAATAGTGATGTATAACTGGCAGTATGCTAAACTGTGTTTTATGGTAGTTATATGATGTTTTCTGCAGTCATAATATGTTTACCCTCTTGTCTCCTTACATGTGTTTTGAAGAAGTTGCAGAGTGTGATTTATTATGGATTATGAAAAGTGTCCATTACAGGTATAAAAGGAACACATGTGTATCTTCATATGTATATTTCATCTATCCAATAGAAAAGAACCTAATTTTGGAAGGAATCATATTATTTATAAAGAAACTATATATTAGATTTCCCAAAGGGACATTTTTTATAACGAATCCCACTCCAGAGCTGGGCCCACAGCCCTGAAGATGGATAAAAGAAAGTCTGTCTTGGCATATGTTATAATGAGCTGTAAATATTGGCTAAAAGTAAAATTTCCAAGTAGTAATTTTTTGACAATATACAAAGTACAGGAAAAGCTTCATAACCTTCCCAAAAGAAAATTTTAAGTATTTAGGAAACTAATTAATACACTCTTTAAATTACTTTTTAATCAAAGATTTCTATTGAAATAGAATTTGGGTAAGCAAGATTTATGTAGTAAAGGCAGAAAAAATTTTTATTTACATATTGCCTTAAATTGGGGCCAAGTAATGACCTCCTTTTTATATTATGATAACCACTGCATCTTACGACTTAAAGAACCAAAACAAGTGTTAGAGAAGTTATAACAATTCTGTATATTTTTTTTAATGTGAAATTTCAGAAAGTTTGAAATAGTTATGGGTGCAAAGTGAGAATAAAGCACACTTTCTGGTTCTATTGTGACCACAGTCCACTTGTCAGAGGCCATCTGAAAGTATGAACAACAAAAATAGTGATATAATTTTAAGGATATAGATGTGTGTTGCGATATCCATCTTCCCTTTTCCTATACATGATTACCATACCAAGTCCTATGGCCTGGGTGTAGTCGGTGTGTCCCCTATTGGAACATAGTGATTAAAGGTGTGCACCCCAGGGGTACTGTTGAGGGAGTGTTGGAACCTTTTGGAGACAGGGCCTCATAGGAGCTCCTAAGGTCACTGGGGACATTAGGGAGTTTACATGAGACCCCATGGTAGTTCCCAAGCACGTCTGTGTTCTTACAGGAGGATCATCCCAAGAGTATCAAGGTTGTGGTATAGACCTGTAATCCCAGACTTTGAGAGGCTGAGGTAGAAAGATCACAAACTCAAGCCCAGCTGGGGAATTTAGCAACTTAGCAAGACCCTATTTCAAAAACAACAACAACAACAAATGTTTAAAAGTTACAAGGCTGACCCCATCTTTCCCACCATGTGCCACTATTCCCCATCCTAATCAAAGGCCAATGGAGCTCACTAACCATGGACTTTGAGCTTTCAAAAGTGTGATCTAAATAAAACATTTCTCCTTACAATTTAGCTGCCTCAAGTATTTCACTGTAATAATGCAAAGCTAACCAACATACCAGTTTCCAATAAAATTGATTAGTGAACTATTTCCATAAGTTATTAATGGCACGCTTGCCATGATTGACTTTTTAGTGTTGCCTTTGTAGGCACACACCAGCAAGGCATCTCTATAGAATAAGAAGCTACTAGGGAGACATATGAAGCAAAAAGAAGGAAACAGAAAAATGTCCTGCAACTATGTCTTACTCACTTTCTTGTCACTGGAACAAAATACTCAACACCCTGGGACTCTCTTCTTATAGCAAAGTCTTTCAAATGAGTTTACTTTTACTCTTTTGCACTGTTAACCCAGGAAAGGATCAGGCTTTGCTTATTTCTGAGATGCCCTCAAGGCATCTTTCCTATGTTTTTAAAAACCATGTTCTCCTTTGCTCCAACTTTGTAGGCACTTCCTTTGTGGCCAAATTCCAAACTTCTTGCATCTTTTGGCTCTAATAATTGCTCTTGATTTTCATTACAATTATGGCTAAAAGCTGCCATCAGTACCTATGCCACAGCCTGAACATTGGTCTGCCTTGAAATTTCTTCTACCAGATTCATTAGTCTGCTACCCTTAATCTCAGCCTCCTGCAAAGACTAAGGACAAGGGCAAAATGTAGACAAATTTTCTACCACAGCCAAACAAACATGGTCTTGAGTCCAGCTGCCAAAGCAGTCCTTGCTCCCAATGGAAATATATTGAGCCAAGTCTTTTCGGTCCATATTTCTATCAGCGTTCTGGTCTTCTCAGCTCTGTCTAGAACCTCCCATCAAGCATTCTAGGGTTTCTCTAGCTGGTATCTCCAAACCTTTCCAAAGTTGTCCTACAAGTTCCAAAACTTCTAAAGTCCACAGTCTAGTGTAATCATGGTGTCTTAGTTACTTTATCATCACTGAGACACAATACCTGACACCCACAGCTCTGAGGAGGAAAGGTTCATTTTGCCTCAGAGTTTGTACAGGCTTCAGTACATAGTCAACTGGCTCCAAAGTAGGGTGGAATGGCAGAGGGGCACAAAGGAAAAGTGCTTTCATGGCATGGAGACAGGAAGCAGAGAGTGAGATCAAGAGAAGAGGGAGGAAGACACATTCCTCCAGGCCATGCTGCAGTGACCCACCTTTGACTAGGGCCTACCTCGTAACATCACATTTAGCTATAAACTCATAACTGGACTAATCCACTGATGAGTATCACAGCTCTATGATTCAACCACATCCCTAAATCCCACCTATGAGTGCATGAAGCTTCTGGAGGACGTCTAGATATAAGCCATAACACACAACAAAAACCCCACTTCTCTGGCACCAGAACTTGTCTTTGTCACTTTCTCCTTGCTGAGACAAAAATACCCAACACCCACAACTTAAAGGAGTAGACGTTTATTTTGTCTCATGGCTTTTTAGAGGATTCAGTCCATAGTTGGCTGACTCTAAGTAGGAAGGGTGTGACGAGGAAAGGCTGAGTAGAGAAAAGCTGCTCACATCATGGTGGCCTGGAAGCAGAAAATGAGGGGAGAAGCCAGGAAAGAAAATATACCCTTCCAGGCCACACCCCAAATGACCCACCTCTAACCGGACCCTGCCTTCTAACAGCAGATTCAGCTGCTGTACTCATTAGTGGATGAATTCACTGATGAATATAGTGCCCCCAGTGTTCCAATCATCTTCTAAAAGTTCCATCTTTGTGTGCATGAGAGTATAGGGGGAGATTCTAGATCTAAATCATAATAAATTATAATCCCAAAGAGATTAAGATTACTTTCTTATATTTCATTTTAATGGTATTTTTCTGGTATACAATATAATGACACTCATCATTGGAAATTTTCACCTTTACATAATCTCCCTTGGTTGTTATATTTTCCCCCTTCCCCTGCCCTCCCTTCAACACCTCCCATCCCTTCCTATATACAAAGACTTTGTTCCATGTTTTCATTTTCTCATATTAATTCCATTCCCTTCTTCCCTTTCCCCTACCCTCCCACTTCCCCTTTCCCTTTGCCCCTTTTCTTCCTATTACACATTATCTATTATACCTTTTAGTCCTTATTTACTCTTTCAGTTTCTCACACTAGAGAAACTATTCAGTATTTACACATGTGTGTCCTATTTAT